TTTCAACCAAAACGAAAAACTACGCCCGAAGCTGCAAAACAATATTATGCGACCGCATAGAAGGGATCTATGTGGTCGCATAGATCATTTATTTTTACCATGGAATTCCCTGAAACCTTCTATGCGACCGCATAGAAGGTTACACTATGCGGTCGCATAGAAGTAGCCATCTATGTGGTTTGTGCAATTTGGTCCCTGAACTTCTTTGTTGCTTCTCTTGACTTCTTTCTTCGATTTCTTCATCTTTTCAACAATTCTTATCTTTCAATTGATGATCGACACTTTCAAATATTATGCCACTCATTCGGCACATCTTTTGAGTATTTGCACTTTAGTCCTCCAACTTTCAATTATCTTCATTTTAGTCCATCTTCCATTCTTTCTTCCTCCACTTGTTTTGCTTTGTCATTGAGCTCATACTCGGCATGTTTTTACTCTCGTTCTGCATTTAGCTCAACTTCTCAATAATTGCACTGTTGGTCCTCGAACTATCAAATTGTTGCGTTTTGGTCCTTATTCGGCTCTTTTCTCGTGAATTCCACAATTTCCATTGAATTACCTACAATACATGAATTTAACTGGATTAAGTCACAATTCAACCATTTTATCCATGTTTAAGTCATGTTTGTGAACCAAATAAGTGTATAAAAACACACTTATCACCTTCTTTTCAAGATCAAAATTTTAAAATCATGTGGAAGGTTTCATTGTTCAAGAATCAGATATTTTAATTATTAAATATTATAATATAAATTCTATACAACCCTAATTTATTTTCATTTTCGTCTCTCTCTCTCTCTACATTGGCTCGCCCCTCTCTCTTCCTCTCTCGTTTCATCATTTCAGATTCGACATCCGACGATGGAGCTGCTCACTTCAAGCACCCGTCGTCGCCGGACAAGCGGCCAGTGGCTCAACTGGTATGCTGCTTGCCCCTCTCTCCTCCTCTCTCCTTTCATCAATTCAGATTCGACAGCCCGACAATGGAGCAGCTCCAGTCGTCACCGCAAGCGCCCGTCATCGTCGGTGGCTCAACTGGTTGCAATAGATCTACTGGTTTAGCTGACGCCTAATGCCACTGTGCGGAAAGGTGACGCGGCGACGTCGTTGTTGGAGTGGTGATTTGGGCATTTTTTGTTAAATGTGGTGATTGTGGTGTAATTTGAGATAGTGGTTGTGATTTTTGGTACAAAAGATAGTGCTTCTGATTGTGGTGTTGATGGTGGTGGCGTTGGGGTTGGGGTTGGGGTTGGTGGTGATAGTGATTATTACTGATGCAAACCGACGACGGTGTTATATTGTTTTGCATTGGTTTTTGCAGTGGTGGATTGCGGTGGTTGTCATGGTTTGGTTGCTTTTGTGACAAATAAGTGGACTCGTGACTTTTTTGGCCCATAAAATCCAGTCTTGCTAGAGAAACAGGTTCAGTGATAGATTTTTACATAGATGGACATTTGACAAATTTTCATTGTAAGTTGATAAAATAAAAAAATAAAAAAAAGGGGCTAACATTTCAGCCTCTGG